ATTGCTCTGAGTAGGGAGGTCCTCTTCACTGTGACCTGGCATGGAAACAGCCTGAGATGATGGAGAGTTTTACATTCCCCATCTAATTTATGGCATATATTAACTCCCCTTTACTACATAGATCTTATTCCCTCTTAGGAATGTGCATTTCAGACATTATCTCACAGCTGCCCTCTAACAAAGGAAAAATGCTCTTATTTCCAATGTGCAGAGGGAACAGAGGGAGATAGATGTAAGCTGTTTAAATAACTCCAGAACTGACCCTCAGGCAGCAGAGGGCAGAACCACAGCTGGGACCTGGAGTTTTGGAAAGCCCATTCAAGGGTCAGAAGACAACTCCATTCAAGAGGACCTCCACAAAAAAAGTTTTCAAATTTTGCTCCTTCTCTCAAAATTGCTGAAATCTGAGGTTCTTCCCATTTGTACTTATTAAGGTAGTATGTATGGCATGAGGTTCAAACCACAGGCTCTAGAGCAATAATGCTTGGATAAAAACCACAGTTCTGCTATTCTCCATCTTCTGATCTTGGGAAAGTTAGTCAACATTTTAGTGCCTCAATCTCAGCATCTGAAAAATAGAATTGATAAATAATAGTATCCACCTCACAGAGCTGTTGTGAGGATTAAATGAGTTTACACCCTCCTACCCCCAGCCCCCACACACCTACTGCAGAGCTTAGGAAATTTTTTGGTACAGAAAAACACCACGTAAGTGTTGGCTATAATTGCGTCTTCTCTTCAGATTGCTCATTCTTTATTTAGCAACCCTGAGTTGATATTTTTTTTGTCTTGGTGACAGCATTATCTAAATACAGAAACCAACCTTGAAGAATCCTAAGCATATGATTAAGTTCAACATATTACCATTCTATTGTTCACTTCCCTCCTTTCTTTCTTTCTTCTTTTCTTCCTTTTTTTCTTTTTCTTTCTTTCCTCCCTTACTTCCTTCTTTATTTCCTTCCTTCCTTCCTTCCCTCCAGAAATATTTCCTGAGTGCCTACTATGTGTACTATGGTACAGTATTAAATTAGGTACAGTAGTAAAGATCAGTTAGAAGTTTCTTTTGACCTAGGATCTTATGGTCTAAGGTGGATATGCACATAAATGTATAAATTTCAATGTCAAAGTAATATTATTGGGGGAAACCAGATGAAGGATCTACCTTAAGCTATCAGAAGAGCCTCCCTGAGGAGGTGACACTATATTGGAATCTTTGAAGGATAATTAGGGATTTATCAAATAAAGAATATTTGTAATATTTGGGAAACATCTTTTCAAAATACATAATAGTTTTTTAAACTTACATGTGACAGTTATAAAAAAATGACCATATACTAGATCATAAAGTATGTCTCAACATATTTCAAGGACTGAATCATACAGAGAGTACAATTCTATTAAGCTAGAAAAAAAAAAAAATTTCCATACTACTTTATCAATTAAAATTAAAATAGAGGTAAATATTTAAACAGGGTAGACTATAAACAGTGGTACTAACATGTATCTAGGTGTATATACTTAGATGTAAAAACATAGTTTTAGAGATTGTTCTCTGCAAAAAGTTTAACATATTTCATAAATATAGAAGGATAAACAAATTTTAACTGAAAATAACAAAACTGAAGTTTCAAAAATGTAGCTAAATAGAGTTAAAGGGGAAATATAGAGAGATATGTTACATAAAAGTTCAGAAAAGATTTCACTATATCAAAAAGTTTAAACTATAGAATATATGTATATATGTAAGTATACATGAATGATCGACAGCTCTACAAAATATTTCAAAATTATTTTGCAGGGCTTCCCTGGTGGCGCAGTGGTTGGGAGTCCGCTTGCCGATGCAGGGGACACGGGTTCGTGCCCCGGTCCGGGAGGATCCCACATGCCGCGGAGCGGCTGGGCCCGTGAGCCATGGCCGCTGAGCCTGCGCGTCCGGAGCCTGTGCTCTGCAACGGGAGAGGCCACAACAGTGAGAAGCCCGCGTACCGCAAAAATAAAAAAAAAATAAAAAAAATTGGGGGTGTACCAAGATGTAGGGGGAATGACTCTTACACAGTCAACCTAAGTTCATCTCAGATCTCTTATATTATTAAAACTGTTTTTCAAGTAATTACTTTTATATCAAATTAATGATGTAACTGAATTTCTTCCGGGTATTTTAGAATTGCAAGCTTTTGATTAGTATAATCACTGATCCATCTCTTTGAATCTAGGGCAAGAATATAAGTCAGAAAGTTGCTATCACTGCTCAGCAAACAGTCTTCAAATTGTCAGTGTTACTATAGACTATAGATGGAGCTATTACTTCTATTGAGAATGAGCATTGTTTGGCTGACTTTCAAAAGGAGAAAAAAAACAGGTTAAGGTTACAATTTTTCTAGCCCAGCAAGCACTCACTTGGTAACCACTTCTTTGTAAAATAATCCAAAATAATACACTTCACCAGATGTTCCTTTAATTTTCCAGGGATTAATTTGAGAATTAATTACCCATTTTAAGTGATTAACAATGACAAAGAAAATAAAAAGAACTAAGCTCTGTACTTATGCTTTTAATTGTACTATGGACCATTGTTCATTCTCATTTTTAAAAACTAGAATCATTTTGACACACAAAAAAAGTCCGGGAATGAATCTCCTGTCTGCTCGGCAACATTTGAGCAAGTAATTACTTCTATAAATCCTGCAGGAAGCTTTCAAGTATTCATGTCTATTAATAAGAAGGGAGACAATAAGAAGAAGGCAAAGATGAAATCAGTAATGACTTCATGCCAAAAAATACATATTTCTTAGTCAGTAAGTCTAAAATCTTTTTCCTAACTATGCCGAATTGCTAACAACAAACAGTTATAAACATTCTCTGCTAAAGCAAGAGAGATCCTAAATTTGCAAGCCACTTAACTTTCATTTCCTTTCCTGAACCATTAAGGGTTTGGATTGAGTGTTTTTGCTTTTTAATATTCCTTTCAGATGTAAGCTAAATATGACAACTCCTTACTCTGTCCCATTCATCTTTGGAGATAAGTGTTAATAGCAATTAAATGCAAATTAATAGGAAAAAAGATTTAATTACAAAGTGAAAGAAAACAAGAGGCCAGCATAATTCTGCTCTGAAAGGAGAGGTGGTGGTAACATGATATTGATGGCAGCAATTTAGGAAATAATATTAACTGAATTAATGCCAGTCTGAAGAATGATGTGTTTATGCCGATGACATGATTCACTTTTTTAAAAAAATTAAGCAATATATGTTTTTCTCCTTTAGACTTTACTCTCTGTACCTTATAAATAAAAACACCTTTCCAGAGTCACGCATGAATCATACTCATTCTTGAATTAAACTAAACACTCAGCACACAGGGAAAGAAACCAAATGTTTATTTGGAAAAGTAAAGGAATTTGCATCTCTGCTCATTCGCAAGAATCTAATCACCAAAATAAAGACATTATCTCACTCTTTCTAAAATAGAAGTTCTCAAACTTGAGCCTGCATCAGAATCAAAGTGAAGGCTTACAGAGATTTCTGGGTCCCACCCCCAGAGTTTATTAGTCAGTAGATCTGAAGTAGGGCCTGAAATTTTGCATTTTTAACATTTTTCCTGGATAAGCTGGCTGGTGTTGATGATATTGGGACCACTGTTCAGAATTATTATTCTAGAAGATGGGTTAAAGTTGGTGAGAGTGAGGAAGAGACTGTCTCTTTAGACATATGTGTGGGAATTGGGCAAAGAATAGGAATATATTTTAAAAGAAAAAAAGACACCTAAACTGTTAAGGATCTACCAGAATTTCCCTCATAACATCACCGATCTCATTTTTCTGTATCTTACTTATGATTCCAAATCTAAGCAGTACAAATGTGCAAGCTAGAGCTGATTAAACCCAACATCCAACGCTACTTCACTGATGTTTTTTCTTTTAAAGAAACAAAAAACTTTGGCTTCTTTGCTAGCTATCCCATAATAAAATGCAGAAGAAATATTTGTTAACCAAGCAGAGAATGAAGGACATTTGTTTTCACTTGTCTGGCTCATTAAACCAGCTTGAGACACGTTACATACCCTGTTAATAGATGATGCTTTAAAATACAGCAAACTAAATGCATCAGCAGCATCCATCCTAACTGGAAAATGTGATGTATTAGGTTTAATAAAAGGAAAGAAAGAAGTGGCAGTCTATTAGTGATGGACCTCTTGAAGGACTGTCAGTATTCACAAGCCAGGGATTCTGCTCCTTTTTTCACTAAGAAACTCCCATGAATACAATGTAAACCTTTTTGAAAGCCTGAAGACAATGGAAAATATTCTACTTGTTATGTGTCATACACAAAAATAATTAAAAAGTAGGATAATTTGGGGGGACTAATATTTTTCAGACAGAAATCCATAAATATTTTGTTACAATATCACAAGGACTTCGTTGAATGGTTCCCGCATCTCCACAGGTAGAGTGAAGCCCAGAGAAGTGTTCATTATGTATCTGTTCAATAATCGTTTATGGAAAACATAGGGTCAAGTCTGTGTTTTGGGTAGGGAAAAAGATCCCTGTCTTCATTAATTTTGACAGCCTATCAGCTATGAACAAAAATACAACACCTAGCAAAGAGAAAAGTCTCAAGCAATGTTATTTTTAATCAAAGTAAAAAATAATCAAGCAACTAAATAATAAGTATAACTGTCATGAGTATAGGACTATGGGATCCATTGGCACAAATTTATATGAGATACTTGCATTTCCTGGGGGGGGGTACATTAGCTCAAAATTTTACAGAATACAAGGAATCTCAAAGTTAAAAATCAGATTTATTTTTAAAATTTTTCAATAACAAAACTTACAAGAATGGATTTTCTATTTAAAAAGGGCTCTGAAAAATGTAAGTGAAACACTGTAAATGCATCGTAATACACTGCAGAAATGTAATAGATTGTAAAAATTGTAATACAGAGGAGGAGTGGTCAAGATGGTGGAGTAGGGAGACCCTGAGCTCACCTCCTCCCACAGGCCCACCAAAATTGCAACTACTTACACAGCAACTATTGATAAGCACAACATGAAGATTAACAGAACAGAATTGCCACAATGAAAGGTGCAATGAAGGAAGCACAATAGGATAGGTAGGAGGGGTGAAGATACAGTATAGTCAAGACTCAGACACCATGAATAGGCAACCCACAAACAGGAGGATAATCACAATTGCAGAGGTTCTCCCCAAGGAGTGAGGAGTCCAAGCCCCATGTCAAGCTCTACAGCCTGGGGTCCTGCACCAAGAAGACAAGCCACCAGAATATCCAGCTCTGACGGCCAGTGGGGCTTGCACACAGGAGAACGGGAGGGTTACAGGAAACAGATTGCTCTAAAAGGATGCACACAAAAATCACAGATACGTTGAATTCCAGCACAGAGGCAGTAAATTAAAAGGAGCCTCTGTCAGACCCATGTGAGGCTCTTAGAGGGCCTCCTTGAGAGGCAGGAGGCAACTGGGAATCCCCCTGAGGATATAGGTGCTGGTAGCAGCCATTTGGGGAGCTCCTTCTACCACAAGGACACAGGTGCTGGCAAGCACCATTAGGAGTCCTCCCACTAATCTATTAGTGCCAGGGGGGTTACCCACCCACCAGTGGGCCAGCATCAGCTCCATGATCCCTCAGGCCATGCAGCCAGCTGCCCCAGGACCAGCCTCTTCCACTAGCAGGCCAGCAACAGACCTGGCCCCCAGGCTCTGCATCCAACTGCCCTGGGACCTGGACCTGCCCACCAGCAGGTCAGCACCAGCCCTAGGCCCCTGCATGCACTGCATCCAGCCACCCCAGGATCCAAACTCACCCACCAGCAGGCTAACAGCCACCACTAGAGGCAGGGGTTGGCAGCCAACCAGGCTGGGGGCAAGCACCACCTACTAGTGTGCACAAAGTAGTTCACCATGCCACAGCAGAAGGGCTCACACACTCACATATTGGGCAACCCTAGAGCATATAGCTCTGGTGACCAGAGGACAGTGTGCTGCTGAGCCCTATAGGAGGCTTCCTATGTAAGGCCACTTCTCCAAGTACAGGAAATGTAACCATCCTATATAATACATAGAAACAGTCACAGAGAATTAGGCAAAACGAGGAGACAGGGGAATACATTCCAAATAAAGAGGACAAAACTTCAGAGGAAAAACTAAACAAAGTGGAGATAAGGAATCTACCCAATAAAGAGTTCAAATGATGATCATAAAGATGCTCAACGAACTTGAGAGAAGAATACATGAAAACAGTGAAGTTTAACAAACAGCTAGAAAATATAAAGAAGAAAAAAGGAGCTGAAGAATAAAATAACTGAAATAAAAAAGTCATTATAAGGAATGAACAGTGAATTAGATGATACAGAAGAATGAATCAGTGAACTGAAAAACAGAGTAGCGGAAATAGTCCAAACTGAAGGGAATAAAAGTAAAAACAATATTAAAAAATTAGGATAGTTTAAGAGGCCTCTGGAACAACATGAAGTGTACTACATTTGCACTATAAGTGTCCCATAAGGAGAAGAAAGAGAGAAAGGGGCAGGGAACTTATTTGAAGAAATAATAGCTGAAAACGTCCCTAACCTGGGAAAGGAAATAGGCATCCAGATACAGGAAGCACAGGGTCTGGAACAACACAAAGAGTTCCACTTCAAGACACATTATAAGTAAAATGTAAGAAATAAAGGATAAAGACAGAATTTTAAAAGCAGCAAGAGAAAAGCAACTAGTTACATACATAGGAACTCGCATAAGACCATCAGCTGACTTTTCTGCAGAAACTTTGCAGGTCAAGAAGGGAGTGGCACAATATATTCAAGGGGAAGAAAGAAAAAAATCTACAACCAAGAATACTTTACTTGGAAGGCTACTATTCAGATTTGAAGGAGAGATAAAGACTTTTACAGGCAAGCAAAAGCTACAAGAGTAAAAGGACTACTAAACTGGCTCTATAAGAAATCTTAAAGGGACTTTTCTAAGAGGAAAAGAAAAGACAACTACTAGAAATGTGAAAATTATGAAAGGAAAGATCTCATTGGTAAAGGCAAACATTCAGTAAAGGTAGGAGATGTACCATTTGTAAAGCTAGTAGAAAGGTTAAAAGACAAAAGTACTAAAATCATCTATATCAACAATAAGTTGCTAAGAGATACATGAAAAAAAGACATGTAAAAGATGATGTCAAAACCACTGAATGGCAGGGGTGTGATGGGGGGAAGTACAGGGTTGTTAGAATGCATTTGAACTTAAGTGATAAGCAATGTAAAAATGTATGTTTTTTAATATACTCCTGTCATAAATGCAAAAAATATGTATAATAGATACAGCACAAAAAAGAGAAAGAAGGGACTTCCCTGGTGGTTCAGTGGTTAAGACCCCACGCTTCCACTGCAGGGGCTGTGGGTTTGACCCCTGGTTGGGGAAACTAAGACCCCGCATGCCGCGAGGCTTGGCTTAAAAAAAAAAAGATATCAAAACATTACACTAAAGATAAAGTCATCAAATCAAAATGGAAGAGAACAAAAGAAGAAGAGAAGAAAAAAAAGAACTACAAAAACAATTAAGAAAATGGCAATAAGTGCAAACCTATTGGTAATTACTTAAATGTAAATGGACTAAATGCTCCAATAGAAAAGAGACAGGGTGGCTGACTGGATTAAAAACAAGACCCATACATATGCTGCCTACATTTCAGATCTAATGACACACACAGAGAAAAAGTGAAGGGATAGAAAAAGGTATTCCATGCAAATGGAAAGAAAAAGAAAGCTGGGTTAGCAATATATATATCAGAGAAAACAAACTTTAAAACAAAGACTGTAACAATAGACAAAGAAGGACATTACATAATGATAAACGGATCAATCCAAGAAGACATAAAACTGTAAATATATATGCACCTACCACAGGAGCACCTAAATACATAAAGCAAATATTAACAGGCAAAAAGGGAGAAGTTTACAGTAATAAAATAATAGTAGAGGATCTTAACACCCCCTGCTTACATCAATGGACAGTTTACCCAGACAGAAAAATCACTGGCCTTAAATGACACCTTAGATGAGACAGAGTTAATAGAAAAATAAAGAATATTTCATCCAAAAGCAGAATACACATTGTTTTCAAGTACATATGGAACATTCTTCAGGAGAGATCACATGTTAGGCCATAAAACAATTCTCAATAAATTTAAGAAGGTTGAAATCATATCAAGCACCTTTTCTGAACACAATGATGTGAAAGTAAAAATCAACTACAAGAAAAAAAATGTGAAAAACAATAATATGCTACTAAACAAAACATGGGTCATTGGAGATATCAAAGAGGAAATTAAAAATACCTGAAGACTGTGAAAATGAAAACACGATGATCCAAAATCTATGGGATGCACCAAAAGCAGTTCTAGGAGTGAAGTTGATACTGATACAAGTCTACCACACAAAATAAGAAAAATCTCAAATAAACCATCTAACTTGTACCTAAAGGAACTAGAAAAAGAACCACCAAAACTCAAAGTCAGTAGAAGAAAAGGAACAGTAATTGTCAGAGGAGAAATAAATAAAATAGTCTAAAAAACAATAAAAAAGAACAATGAAAATAAGAATTGGTTCCTTGAAAAGATAAACAAAATTGATTAATATTTACTAGATTTATCAAAAAAAAAAAAAGAGAAAGAGAGAGAGAGAGTGTCCAGATAAAACCAGAAGTGAAAGAGGACACAACTGACATCACAGAAATACACTGAATCATAAATGATTACTATGAACAATGACATGTACATAAAATGGACAACCTAGAAAAAAATGGATTATTTCCTAGAAATGTACAATCTCTCAACATTGAACCAGGAAGGAACAGAATATATGAACAGATCTACAACAAATAATGAAAGTTAATCAGTCATTAAAAAACTCCCAAAAAACAAACGTCTTGGACCATATGGCTTCATAGGTAAATTCAACTAAATATTTAAAGAAAAGTTAACACTTATCCTTCTCAAGGAATTCCAAAAAATTGCAGAGGAGGGAACACTTCCAAACTCATTTCATGAGGCTAGCCATCGTCCTGATAACAGCATCAGACAAAGTTACCACAAACAAGAAAATTATAGGTCAATATTACTAGTGAACATAGCTGCAAAATCCTCACCAAAATTTTAATAAACTTAATTCAACAATACATTAAAAGGATTATACATCATGATCAAGTGGATTTATCCTGGGGATACAAGGATGGTTAAAACCCTTCAATCAATCACTGTGACACACGACATTAACAAATTGAAGAATAAAACTCATATGATCATCTCAATACAGAAAAAGTTTTTGACAAAATTCCACATCCATTTACGATAAAAAAAAAGCTATCACAGTCACTGTTTGCAGATGACATGATACTATACATAGAGAATCCTAAAAATGCCACCAGAAAACTACAAGCGCTAATCAATGAATTTGGTAAAGTTGAAGGATACAAAATTAATGCACAGAAACCTCTTGCATTCCTATATGCTAAAGATGAAAAATCTGAAAGAGAAACTAAGGAAACACACCCATTTACCATAGCAACAAAAAGAATAAAATACCTAGGAATAAACCTACCTAGGGAGACAAAAGACCTGTATGCAGAAAACTATAAGACACTGATGAAAGAAATTCAAGATGATACCAACAGATGGAGAGATATACCATGTTCTTGGATTGGAAGAATCAATATTGTGAAAATGAATATACTATCCAAAGCAATCTACAGATTCAATGCAATCCCTATCAAATTACCAACGGCATTTTTTACGGAACTAGAACAAACAATCTTAAAATTTGTATGGAGACACAAAAGACCACAAATAGCCAAAACAGTCTTGAGGTAAAAAAATGGAGCTGGAGAAATCAGACTCCCCGACTTCAGACTATTTTACAAAGCTACAGTAATCAAGACAATATGGTACTGGCACAAAAACAGAACCATAGATCAATGGAACAAGACAGAAAGCCCAGAGATAAACCCACGCACCTATGGTCAACGAATCTATGACAAAGGAGGCAAGGATATACAATGGAGAAAAGACAGTCTCTTCAATAAGTGGTGCTGGGAAAACTGGACAACTACATGTAAAAGAATGAAATTAGAATACTCCCTAACACCATACACAAAAATAAACTCAAAATGGATTTGAGACCTAAATGCATGACAGGACACTATAAAACTCTTAAGAGGAAAACATAGGAAGAACACTCTTTGACATAAATCACAGCAAGATCTTTTTTGATCCACCTTCTAGAGTAATGGAAACAAAAACAAAAATAAACAAATGGGACCTAATGAAACTTAAAAGCTTTTGCACAGCAAAGGAAACCATAAACAAGATGAACAGACAATCCTCAGAATGGGAAAAAATATTTGCAAACAAATCAACAGACAAAGGATTAATCTCCAAAATATATAAACAGCTCATGCAGCTCAATATTATAGAAACAAACAACCCAATCCAAAAATGGGCAGAAGACCTAAATAGACATTTCTCCAAAGAAGACATACAGATGGCCAGGAAGCACACAAAAAGCTGCTCAACATCACTAATTATTAGAGAAATGCAAATCAAAACTACAATGAGGTATCACCTCACACCAGTTAGAATGGGCATCATCAGAAAATCTACAAACAACAAATGCTGGAGAGGGTGTGGAGAAAGGGAACCTTCTTGTACTGTTGGTGGGAATATAAATTGATACAGCCACTATGGAGAACAGTATGAGGGTTCCTTTAAAAACTAAATATAGAATTACCATATGATCCAGCAATCCCACTACTGGGCATATACCCAGAGAAAACCATAATTCAAAAAGACACATGCACCCCAATGTTCACTGCAGCACTATTTACAATAGCCAGGTCATGGAAGCAACCTAAATGCCCATTGACAGATGAATGGATAAAGAAGATATGGTACATATATACAATGGAATATTACTCAGCCATAAAAAGGAACGAAATTGAGTCATTTGTTGAGACGTGGATGGATCTAGAAACTGTCATACGGAGTGAAGTAAGTCAGAAAGAGAAAAAAAAATACAGTATATTAACGCATGTATGTGGAACCTAGAAAAATGGTACAGATGAACCAGTTTGCAGGGCAGAAGTTGAGACACAGATGTCGAGAACAAACGTATGGACACCAAGTGGGGATAGCTATGGTGGGGGGTGGGATGGTGGTCTGCTGAATTGGGCAATTGGGATTGACATGTATACACTGATGTGTATAAAACTGATAACTAATAAGAACCTGCTGTATAAAAAAATAAATAAAATAAAATTAAAAAAAAATAGCTATCAAAACAAAGTGGGTACAGAGGGAACCTACCTCAACATATGAAAAACATATATGACAAACCTATAGCTAGCATAATATTCAACAGGGAAACTCTGAAACCACTTGTTCTAAGATCAAGGACAAGAAAAGAATGCCCATTCTCGACAATTTTTACTCATCATAGTACTAGACATCCTAGCCACAGCAATCAGAAAAGAAAAAAAAAATACATGGAAGCCAAATTGGAAAGGAACAACTGAAACTGTCACTGTTTGCAGGTGACCTGATACCATATATAGAAAGGCCTAAAGAAGCCACAAAACTAAAACTATTAGAAACAATAAATGAATTCAATAAGTTACAGATACAAAATTAATATACAGAAATCTGTATGTTTCTGTATACTAAAAGTAAACTATCAGAAAGAGAAATTAAAAAAACAATCTGATTTACCTTTGCAGCAAAAATAATAGAAATAAATTTAATCAAAGAGATAAAAGTCCTGTACTTGGTAAACTATAAGACATTTATGAAAGAAACAGATGTCACAAGAAAATGGAAAAATATGCCTTGCTAATGGATTATAAGAATTAATAGCGTACAATGACTATATTCAACAAGGCAATCTACAGAATCATTGCAATTCCTATCAAAATACCAATCGTATTTTTCACAGGACTAGAACAACTAAGTCTAAAATTTGTTTGGAGACAAAAGAGGCCCCACACATCCAAAACAATCTTGAGGAAGAAAAACAATGCTTTAGGCATCATGCTCCCTGACTCCAAACTATACTACAAAGCTACAGTAATCCATATATTACTCACAAAACAGTAAAACCAGTAAACCAGTAAAAACAGTAAAACCAGTAAAACCAGTACTTTATTACAGTAAAAACAGTAAAAACAGTAAAAAACCAGTACTTTATTACAGTAAAACCATATATTACTCACAAAAACAGACACAAAGATCAATGGAACAGAATAGAAAACCCAGAAATAAACCCATGATTATATGGTCAATTAATCTATGATAAAGGAGACAAGAATATACAATGGGGAAAAAACATCCTCTTCAATAATTTGTGCTAGGAAAACTGGACACCTACATGCAAAAGAATCAAGCTGAACTATACTTTCTCAAACCATATCCAAAAGTAAACTCAGAATGGATTGCAGCCTTAAATGTAAGACCTGAAACCATAAAACTTCTAGAGGAAAACACAGGCAGTATGCTCTTTGGCATCAGTCTTAGCAATGTTTATTTGAATATGTCTCCACAGGCAAAGGCAAACCAAAGCATAATAAACAAATGGGATTGCATAAACTAAAAAGGGTTTGTACAGTAAAGGAAACTATCAGCTAAACTAAAGACAGCTTATGGAATAAGATGTTTGCAAATGACATACTCAAAAAGGGGTTAATATCTAAAATATACAAAGAACTCATACTACTCAAATTTTTTTTGGTAAATCTGATTAAAAAATGGGCAGAAGACTTGAAAAGACATTTTTCTAGAGAAGACAGATGGCCAACAGGAACATGAAATGATGCTAAACATCACTAGTTATCAGGGAAATGCAAATCAAAACAACAATGAGATTTTACCTCATACCTGTGAGAATGCCTGCTAATAAAAAGATAACAAACAAAAAGTGTTGGCAAGTATGTGGAGAAAAGGGAACACTTGGGCAGTATTGGTAGGATTGTAAGTTAGTCCTGCCACTATGGAAAACAGTATGGAGTTTCCCCCCAAAATTAAGAATAGAACGACCATATGATCCAGAATTCCACTTCCGGGTATTTTTTTGAAGAAAACAAAAACACTCATTCAAAAAGATACACACACCCACATGTTCATTGCAGTGTTATTTGTAACAGCAAATATATGGAAGCAACCTAAGTGTCCATCGATGGATAAATGGATAGAGAAGATGTAGTGTGTGTGTGTGTGTGTGTGTGTGTGTGTGTGTGTGTATATATATATATATATATATATATACTCAGCCATGAAAAAGAATGAAATCTTACCTTTGTGACAAAAATGGGTGGACCTAGAGGGTATTATGTTAAGTGAAATAAGTCTAACAAAGAAAGACAAATACTGTATGATTTCACCTATACGGGGAATCTAAAAAAAATAAACAAATATTGATGTAACAAAAGGGAAACAGACTTATAAACACACATAACAAAATAATGGTTGTCATAAGGGAGGTAAGTCAGGGAATGAGGAGTGACATGGGTAAGGGAGATTAAGAGGCATAAACTTTCAGTTATAAAATAAATAAGTCACAGTATGTAATATACAGCATATGGAATATAGTCAATAATATTATAATAACAGCATGATGGCAGATGGTAACTACACTTACCATGGTGATCATTTTGTAATGTATAAAAGTATCAAATTACTATGTTGTACACCTGAAACTAATATAATATTGTAAATCAATTATACTTCAATAAAACAATGGTAATACAAATGGAAATACTGTTTATTTACATTGGTAAAGTGAAGGAATACAGTTATGAAAGTAATTATAAAAGAAAAAAGAAAAAAGAAAACCCCTTTTTATATAAAACTAAATAGAAATAAATGAGATTAAGTATATTTCAAATTGATAACCACACAGAATAAAATTATTTCAGATAACATTTGTAATTAGCTGTCCAGTTTTAGTGATATATGAGTTTAAGAGCAAAAAAAAAAGTCTGAAAACATATCCTATATTTTATTAGTGTGTTTACTGTTTGTAGTAGTGTTGGTATTCTAGTTTTGAGACTGTTTGGTGCATTTTATTGTACAATAGAGAAAATAAGTAGATGTATTGATGATATTAGGAACCATGATGTTTACTTTAAGGGAGAAGAGATACAAATATAAAAGAAAAGTAGAAGTAGAACATCTTTTCATGTGCCTATTGGCCATCTTTTCTTCACCAAGAAGAAAAGAGAGAGGATCCAAATAAACAAAATAAGAAATGAAAGAGGAAAAATAACAACCAGTACCACAGAAATACAAAAAACCCATAAAAGAAAACTGTGAACAATTCTATGCTAACAAATTCGACAACCTAGAAGAAATGGACAAGTTTCTCAAAACATACACCCTGTCAAAACCGAATCAAGAAGAAAGAGATAATTTGAACAGACTGATCACTAGATGTGAAATGGAATCTGTAATTTAAAAACTCCCTACAAACAAAAGTCCAGGACCAGATGGCTTCACAGGCGAATTATACCTAACATATAAAGAATTATACTGATCCTCCTCAAAATCTTCCAAAAAACTGAAGAGGAGGGAACACTCCCAAGACATTCTATGAAGCCTTCATCAACCTGATACCAAAACCAGACAAAGACACCACCAGAAAATTACAGGCCAATAGCTTTGATGAATACGAATGTAAAATGTCTCAACAAAATATTAGCAAACCAAATCCAACAACACATAAAAAAGATCATACACCATGACCAAGTGGGGTTCATCCCAGGTTCACAAGGATGGTTCAACATGCATAAATCAATCAATGTGATACACCACATCAACAAAAGAAAAGACAAAAAACATATGATCATCTCAATAGATGCAGAAAAAGCATTTAACAAAATTCAACATCCATTCATGATAAAAACTCTTACCAAAGTGGGTATAAAGGGAAAACATCTCTACATAATAAAAGCTATTTATTACAAACCTACAGCCAACATAATACGCAATGGCGAAAATCTGAAAGCCTTCCTGCTAAAGTCTGGAATAGAACAAGGATGCCCACTCTCACCACTTCTATTCAACATAGTATTGGAAGCACTAGCCACAGCAATCAGACAAGAAAAAGAAATAAAGGGTATCCAAATTGGAAGGGAAGAGGTAAAACTGTCATTATATGAAGATGACATGATATTATACAGAAAATTGTAAAGACTCTACACAAAAACTACTAGAACTGATAAAAGAATTCAGCAAGGCAGCAGGATACAAGATTAACATAGAGAAATTGGTTGCATTTCTTTACAGTAGCAATAAAATCTCAGAAAGGGAAAGTAAAAAAAAAAAATCCCATTTAAAATCACATCATAAAAAATAAAACACTTAAGAATAAACCTGGTCAAGGAAGTGAAAGACATACACATTGAGAACTATAAAACACTGATAAAGGACACTAAAGATGATTTAAAGATATGAAAATATATCCCATGCTCTTAGATAGGAAGAATTAATATTGTTAAAATGGCCATACTACCCAAAGCAATCTACAGATTTAATGTGATCCCCATCTAATTACCCATGACATTTTTCACAGAAACAGGGCAAATAATCCTAAAATGTACATGGAACCATAAATGACCCAGAATTGCCACAGAAATCCTGAGAGAAAAGGACAAAGCTGGAATCATAACTCTCCCACACTTCAGACAATACTACAAAGCTACAGTAATCAAAACAGCATGGTATTGGCACAAACACAGATATATGGATCAATGGAACAGAATAGAGAGCTCCAAAATAAAGCCACACACATGTTCAATTAATCAATGACAAAGAAGGTAAGAATATACAATAGAGAAAAGACAGTATCTTTGGCAAGTGGTGTTGGGAAAGCTGGACAGTTGCATGTAAATCAATAAAGTTAGAACACTCCCTCACACCATATGCAAAACTACTGTAAACTCAAAATGGGTTAAAGACTTAAATATAAAATGGACACCATAAAACTCCTAGAAGAGGATATTCTCTGACATAAATCATAGCAATGTTTTCTTAGGTCAGTCTCCAAAGGCAAAAGAAATAAAAGCAAAAATAAACAAATGGGACCTAATCAAAAGCTTAAAAGCTTTTGTACGGTAAAGGAAACCATAAACAAAATGAAAAGACAACTTACAGAATGGGAGGAAATATTTGCAAATGATGCAACCAACAGGGCTTAATTTCCAAAATACACAAACAGCTCATGTAACTCAATAATACAAAACACAAACAAGCCAATCAAAAAACGAACAGAAGCCCTAAAAAGACATTTCTCCAAAGAACATACAGATGGCCAATAGGAACATGAAAAGCTGCTCAACATCACCAACTATTAGAGAAATATAAATCAAAATCACAATGAGGTACCACCTCACACTGGTCAGGAAGGCCATAATAAAAAAGTCTACAAATAATTAATGTTTGAGAGGGTGTGGAGAAAAGGGAACACTCCTACACTATTGGTGGGAATGTAAGTTGCTGCAGCCACTATGGAAAACAGTATGGACATAAAAAACTAAAAGTAGAGTTGCCATATGATCCAGCAATCGCACTCCTGGGTATATATCCAGAGAAACCCATAGTTCGAAAAGATACATGCACCCTAATATTCATTGCAGCACTATTTACAATAACTAAGACATGAAATCAATCACTATGTCCATCATCAGATGAATGCATAAAAAATATGTGGTATACAATGGAACGCTAATTAGCCATAAGGAGAATGAAAGAATGCCATTTGCAGCAGTGTGGATGGACCTAGAGTTTATCATACTAAGTGAAGTATGGCAGACAGAGAAAGACAAACATCATATGATATCACTTATATATGGAATCTAAAATATGATACAAATGAACTTATTTACAAAACAGAAACAAACTCACAGACACAGCAAACAAACTTATGGTTACCAAAGGGGAAAAGAGTGGGGAAGGATAAATTAGGAGTTAGGGATTAGCGGATACAAGCTACTATATAGAAAATAGATAAAAAGGACAAACTTTCAAGATGGCAGAGGAGTAAGATGTGGAGATCACCTTCCTCCCCACAAATACATCAGAAATACATCTACATGTGGAACAACTCCTACAGAACATCTACTGAATGCTAGCAGAAGACCTCAGGCTTCCCAAATGGCAAGAAATTCCCCATGTACCTGGGTAGGGCAAAAGAAAAAAGAAAAAACAGAGACAAGAGAATAGGGAGAGGACCTGCACCTCTGGGAGGGAGCTGTGAAGGAGGAAAAGTTTCCACACACTAGGAAGCCCCCTCACTGGAGGAGACGGGTGTGGCAGAGGGGAAGCTTCAGAGCCACAGAGGAGAGTGCAGTAATAGGGGTGCAGAGGGCAAAGAGGAAAGATTCCCGCACAGAGGATTGGTGCCGACCACACTCACCAGCCTGAGAGGCTTGTCTGCTCACCTGCCGGGGCAGGTGGGGGATGGGAGCTGAGGCTCCAGCTTTGGAGGTCAGGTCCCAGAGAGACGACTAGGGTTAGCTGCATGAACACAGCCTGAAAGGGGCTAGTGTCCCACAGCTAGCTGGGAGGGAGTCCGGGAAAAAGTCTGGAACTGCTGAAGAGGCAAGAGACCACTGTTTCGGGGTGCACGAGGAGAGGGGATTCAGAACACCACCTAAACGAGCTCCAGAGATGGGCGCAAGCTGCAGCTATCAGCGTGGACACAAGAGATGGGCATAAAATGCTAAGGCTGCTGCTGCAGCCACCAAGAAGCCTGTGTGCAAGCACAGGTCACTATCCATTACCTCTGTTCCCAGGGAGCCTGTGCAGCCCACCACTGCCAGGGTCCCATGATCCAGGGACAACTTCCCCAGGAGAACACATGGCGCGCCTCAGGCTGTTGCAACATCACATTGGCCTCTGCCGCCCTAGGATCTCCCCGCATTTTGTACCCCTCCCATCACCCAGCCTCAATGAGCCAGAGCGCCCTAAGCAGCTGCTCCTTTAACCCCCTCCTGTATGACCAAAGAACAGACGTGCTCAGGCAACCTATACACATAGGCTGGGCCAAATCTAAAGCTGACCCCCAGGAGCTGTGTGAACAAAGAAGAGAAAGGGAAATTTCTAACAGCAGCCTCAGGAGCAGTGGGTTAAATTCCCACAATCAACTTGATGCACCCTGCATCTCTGGAATACCTGAATAGACAACAAATCATCCCAAAATTGAGGTGGTGCACTTTGGGAGCAACGATAGACTTGGGGATTGCTTTCTGCTTCTAATTTGCTTTTGATTTTAGGTTTATTTAGTTTAGTATTTAGAGTTTATTATCTTTGGTAGATTTGTTTACTGATTTGGCTGCTCACCTCCTTTTCTAATATATATAGATATAGACATATAGATATATAGATATTTTTCTCTATTTGAGTGTCTATGTGCATGCTTCTGTGTGATTTTGTCTGTATAGCTTTGCTTTTACCATTTATCCTAGGGTTCTGTCTGTCCGTTTTTCTTTTCTTTCTTTTTTTTTAGTATAGTTTTTAGCACTGGTTATCATTGGTGGGTTAGTCTGTTCGTTTGGTTGCTCTCTTCTTTCTTTCTTTCCTTTTTCTTTTTTTATTACTTTTTAATTTTTAAAATTTTAATAACTTATTTTCTTTTATTTTTTCTTAATCTCTTTCTTTTTTTCTCCCTCTTCTTCTAAGCCATATGGCTGACAGGGTCTTGGTACTCCGGCTGGGTGTGAGGCCTGTGCCTGTGAGGAGGGAGAGCTGAGTTCAGAAAATTGGTCCACCAGAGACCTCCTGGTTTCATGTAATATCAAACAGCAAAACCTCTCCTAGAGACCTTCATCTCAATGCTAAGACCCACCTCCACTAAATGACCAGCAAGCTACAGTGCTGGACACCCTATGCCAAACAACTACCAAGACAGGTAGACAACCGCACCCATTAGCACAGAGGCTGCCTAAAATCATAATAAGGTCACAGAGACCCCAAAACACACCACCAGATATGATTCTGCCCACCAGAAACACAAGATCCAGCCTCAGCCACCAGAACATAGGGACCAGTCCCCTCCACCAGGAAGCCTACACAACTCACTGAACCAACTTTAGTCACTGGGGTCAGACACCAAAAACAAGGGGGACTATGAACTTGCAGCCTGCGAAAAGGAGATGCCAAACACACTAATTTAAGCAAAAACTAATCCAAAACAATTAACAAAATGGCAATAAAAACATACTCATCAAAAATTACATTAAATGTAAATAGATTAAATGGTTCAACAAAAAGGCACAGACTGGCTGAATGGATACAAAAACAAGACCCGTATATATGCTGTCTACAAGACACCCACTTCAGACCTAGGGACATGTACACACTGCAAGTGAGGGGATAGAAAAAGGTATTCCATGTAAACGGAAATCAAAAGAAAGCTGGAGTAGCAATTTTCATATCAGACAATATAGACTTTAAAATAAAGACTATTACAAGAGACAAAGAAGGACACTACACAATGATCAAGGGATCAAACCAAGAAGAAGATATAACAATTGTAAATATTTATGCACCCAACATAGGAGCACCTCAATACATAAGGCAAATACTAATAGCCATAAAAGGGGAAATCTACAGAAAGGTAACCATAGTAGGGGACTTTAACATCCCACTTTCATCAATGAACAGATCATCCAAAATGAAAATAAATAAGGAAACACAAGCTTTAAATGACACATTAAACAAGATGGACTTAATTGATATTTACGGGACATTCCATCCAAAAACAACAGAATACACTTTCTTCTCAAGTGCTCATGGATCATTCTACAGGATAGAGCATATCTTGGGTCAAAAATCAAGCCTTGGTAAATTTAGGAAAACTGAAATTGTATCAAGTATCTTTTCCAA